TAGGTGCATTGTGCTTTTTATGGATGTTTACATTTCTTACACATTTTGTACACATCTAATGTTTAAATTAAAAACAATGTGTTACACATTTAACAAGGATGTGTCATCTGTAACACACCCCTCCTCTGAGTATATGTGGGTTATCTGCCTTCAGAAGGCCACTCGGGTGGCAGCTCCAGCTCAGGGATGAAAACACCGCTCAGATTTCTTAGCAGGCTTTCAGCTGTCCTTAACATCAGAAGTATTGATTGTGCTGCTCTGACCAACACACTGGCTCAGTGTTAGGGGAGAGCTCAGTCTGCTTGGGACTCAGCTTTACTGTAAAACATGGAGACTGGTTGATTAGCCTAATCAATGTAGGGCGCCAGAGAGTGCTGAGAGTGAGGAAAGGAAGAAACTATACAAAAGGGCTATCTGTCAATCAATCAATCGATCTATCTATCTATCTATCTATCTATCTATCAATTGATCTATCTATCTATCTATCTATTGATCGATCTATCTATCTATCTATCTATCTATCAATCTATCGATCTGCATCTGACATTGGTTGTGTGCTGTGTCAACCTATGTTGTTACTTTATGAGGGGTGCACATGTGTTTTTGTGAATATCTGGTTGATATTCTGTCTCTCTCCACTGAAATGAAGCTATCATAAAAACACAGACTTCCTTTCTTTGTACATGAACACAGGATGTGTTGATCCAGTGTTCTGAAGTGCTGAGGCCAGCAGCTGGGACCATGAACCCATTGTGAAAGCGTCTGGTGAGGTCATAGACCAAGTGAGGAGCTGGGCAATCTCTGCAAAGATTTCCACACAATCGGACGTATAAGAGTTCAGCCTGTTGGCAGTAGAAATAATACTGGATTAAGGCACCAACATGGCTTTAAATTTCAGACCATATGTTTTAACCATATAGCTGTAAAAACATATGACAGCGGTTCTATTGTGGAATGAATAAATATTTTTTCTCATTGACTTGTTTTCTATATTACTGCTAATAATTAGCCATTCTGTTTGGACAGCAATTAACAGAAGCTTAAACAATTACTAATTACATTTTAATGTTTAATACATAACTACTAAATGCTAACCTCTTTAAACGTTTGTTGCCAAAAGCCAGATACAGGGGTGATGTCATGCATGCGTGTGTGCATGACATCACCCCTGTATCGACGTACAGTTCTGGGGCTTGTTCCGGGGCTGCCTCTCTCCCCTCATCCCCGGGGAAACGGGGTGTGGTGGGAGGATGGGCGCTAACACCTGCCGCCGCTCTGCTTCATTGGAGGCGGCCTAGCGCCGCAACAAAAGGAAAGATGCCGCCTTTGTATCTGACAGATGGCGAGGCTGCGTCAAGCTCACGGACGGAGAGAGCGAATAGTACCGGAAGTAGTTTGAATTTGTCTTCAAAATAAGAGCTTTTGGCCAGCCGTTTGACGCCATTAGTTTTGCTGTACTTGCTTTAAATAAACTGGAATGACTGTTCACTTTATAATTTCAAATAAAGTAAAAAAAAATATGCGAGGATCATAGTGGCTCTAAATCAAATACAGCACACATGAAGACAAAAGTCAACAGCTTCATTTTGATATGTTTGTTCTAATTTATATATTTCAAGAATATATTTCACAAAGTTTGATGAAATATGTAAATATGCGTATTTTATTTTTGTCTTGTCATCGCCTTGTCTCCACCCTGTGTCCTGTTGTACGTTTGGTGTCACGTTTCACACTAAATTAAAAAATAAAATACATTAACTAATAAATAATGCAGGTCAAACGCACCAGTATTACTGAGGCACAGCTTTTAACTGTTCACCATGTACGAAATATGATATATATATATATATATACACACATATATTTAGTTTATTTATGAGATTTATCAGATGAGACAACATCGCCATTTCTCCAATGTTTTTACTTTTTTTTTTTTTTTTAGCTTGAATTAATTGGTATCAAACACAAGGCTGTTCTCAGCTGTTACCACCTGCCTCGTTGCTGTGGTTAGTTATAACACAGCTTAGGGTAAGTTAATGTATGAGGGAAGACTCTTACCTTAACAACTGTATTGCACATTGACCAACACTGAAACCTTTTCTTCACCTAGACTATAAAGTACTCAGTTCTGGCTTTCACATCATATTGCTAAAGGAAAAACTGTGGTAACGTTTTTCTTACTGTCTTGTTATGCTGAAAAAATTAGCAGAAGAAAAACATTTAGCTGTCATCATGCAGGTAGTTAGTGTTAGTAGCACCTGAGTCAAACTGACATCAAGTGAAATGATTCTGTTATGAAAAATACGTATTTTATGTTCTTTGGCAGTAAATATGTAAGTTGTTGTCCCGGATTAGTAGATCACACCTATCTGCTGTGGGGACCGGAAGTGTTGCTGCCGTATTTCTGCAGACTTGACAGTAGCGAGAAGTGACCAGAAGGTGATCGAAAGAAAGGCAAGACATTGTGAGGAGGAAGAAATTCGAGCAGGAGTGAGACAGGGAGGGCTGGAGGCTGGCCCATCATTGCAGTACTAACGTTTGATAAGAAGAGGAGAGCAGACGGAGCAGGGAGGACTGAGGACGCAGAGCAGCATCACGATCCGCGGCTGCGTCTCAGTGCCGGAGAGAAAGTGTCCGCATCTCGGCGAGGTAAATACAGCGACGCCTCCACCTTCTCTCTGGCAGCAGCACTAACGGTGACATTTGATCTGGCGTTCAGACACCTGTCACATGTATTGCTGCTTTACAGTGACTCCAACATGTAATGTGTGTGCGTTAGTTAGCGACATTTCAACCGGAAATCTCTGTCTGTGTGAAATAATGAAGTGTCCTGCATTAACTGAGGGGTCGCTGAATCAGATCAGATCTGCATATGTCAGATTTTCTTATTGTTGCTGCTTTCGGGTTACATCCACGCAGGACACATATTCATACAGCGGCTCAGCCTCCTGGGGACGCTGAAGCAGCTCGATCTTTAGGTCCCACACAGAGTGAGTAGGGCAGGAGAGGAACACAGCAAAACAACCCAGTAATCCCATCCAAGAAAACTGAGGTTCCCGTGACTGTTGCTCCCAGGTTCTCTAATGATGCTCAGTCATTACATCGCGCTCTTCACCACTATGAAGTCATCTGCTAAAAATCTGGAATCTTTGAACAGCATTTGAAATTTGAATCCCATGAAACATTACAAAAATCACTTTGCACAGACATCAATCCTCCTCAGGCCTCCATAGGCTGCTTACACAACATGCCTATTCTTTCATCTCTTCACCGGCTGCGAGTGAAATTCAATTCAATGTTATTTACATAGATCACAACAAAAGTCGCCTCAAGGCGCTTCATAGATACAAAAATGTATCTGTGTAATGTAATTAATGACATGAATCCCTACATGAGCGGCTCCCACATTTATAGCAAAGCTACTGAGACCTTCCTCCAGCATTCAGTTCCTCTGATCATCTGCTCTGAGTCTTTTTTAACTGTTGGATGCTTTAAAAAGAGGCAGCCGCACTTTGGAATAAGTTTCTTCAGCCAATCAAGTTTTGAAGACCTGCTGAAAACTTGTTTGGTACCTTACCTTAATCTTTCAGCTGTAATTTATGGCTTTAAGTTCACAAACTAAAGTGTCTAAGGAAGTATTTCTCTGGTACTCGGTGTCAGGTGTACAGTGGCACAGGCCTACACATCTTACATGTGCTGTTTTATTACTGTGGCACTTTTTACTATGCTGATGTGTAAGAAATATGAATTTATCATCATGTTCTTGTTGTTCATGTTTACTGTTTCTAATAAAAGAACTAACACGGCTATTTTCAAACACCAAACAAATGAATAATTATTAAACACATATAAATAAACAGGCCTCATCCACCTGAGTCCGTCTGCATAAAAGGATGTAGCCATATGAGAACGGTAATTATAAGAGAATAAATGAAAATAATCAGTAATGATTTTGAATGAGAGAAATGAACATCATGAACAGGATCAGTCATTATTATCCATCACTCAGTTAACTCGTGGACAATAATGAGAGTTTTTTCAGTCATTCACATTTTCTGTGAATGAACAAAAAGCTTCTATTTCACAGTTACAGGACAAAACTATTAGAACTGTACGTTTGCACCTTTATCCTGTAGTTTCGTTGGTCAGGTCCATTTGAGATCAGCGTGCATGTGTTTATGTGTAAAAGGAGTTGTTGTTGAAGAAAGGTTCACAGCTGGAGTCCTGGAAGATAAACCATGGCCAAGTAACTACGACCTAAAAATCTTTTCTCATCCTGCTGTGTTGGAATGAGGCCTTGATGAAGTTGCTCGACTTTGTACTGAGTCTCTGTTTCCACGTTTTTACTTCTTCAGGCACGACGAAGTGCTGCAGGCATGGGCGTAAACTCTAACTAATTCAAGACCAGTAGTAGACAAGAAGCATTAGCACAGAACGGGTTAGTTGAGAATTTATAGGATTTATGTGATTTGATCTTATGAGTCATATTATTTGGTTCAGATATTTGCTTTGTCCCTGCTAAATTGTTTAAATAAAAAAAATCCTACCTGCATTTAATCTTTTCCTTTTTAATCCTGTGAACTGGTAAAGATTAAACCTGTGTATGCATATGGCATCTTTTAATGGTTCTTGGCTGGTCTAATTCTGTAAACAGATCTCCAGGACTTCTTTTCCTGACCGCTAAAGTGTGACCATTTATCAAGTGCAAGGATCAGGGGAGAGCGTGGCTGTTGGTTGCAGCTAACTGTGAGGGCTGCTAGAGGATGTTATTGTCCCGCAGACCTGGTCAGTTACAGCTAGGCTGTCCCGTACAGTTACCCCTGTACAGGACGTCTGCAGCTATTATCATCATTAGTCTTTTATTTAGCCAGGTAAAAAATTGAGATTGAAAATCTCTTTTCCAAGAGAGACCTGGCATCATGGCAACAACAGTCACATACCACACAGGTATATAACATTTAAAACAAATATCCCATACCAACATGTGTAAAATATACAATAACAGATCAAATTAAGAGAACATTAAAAACAATCACACTGAGTAAAAGAGCTGTTCTCTCGTTCCTTTATGACAGACTGAAACTCTCCCAATTCTGATCATTTCAGTTCCTCCCGCAGATTATTCTAGGAATTCTGTTCTGATTTTTGGGACAATCAATTGTATGATATTGTGCGAACGAAGGCTGTATTGGTTGTGTTTTTACACATATAAACACATAAACAAGATGGAACCAGGAGAGATTTATAGATAAAGATCAACCAATTGGAGAGTCTGCGAATATGATAGACATTTAGCAGCAGCATACAAAGAACAATGATGTACACGATTTCCACAGCCAGTAATAAAACGTAAAGCACAATGGTGCGCAGTATCCAACCTCTTTAGGTAGTGGGCAGGTGCATTCATAAAAAGCAGGTCACCATAATCCAATAAAGGTAAAAAGGTTGCACGAATCAAAGGTTTTCTCACTTGGAGGGAGAAACAGGATTGGTTTCTAAAAAAGTAACCTAGTTTTAGTTTTAACTTCGACACAAGAATGTGAGTCTTAAATGACAAATTCTGATCTATAATGATCCCAAAATGTGACCATTTCAATTTCAGTTCCTTGAATTGTTTTAATCTTAGGAGACGTAGCTAACAACTCTTTGCCATTTGAGAATAACATGAACTTGGATGAAGGCAGACTGCAGAAATTGCAGGGTTTGTGCTACTGAAGGGGATGAACAATAAATAATTGTATCATCTGCATAAAGATGAAATGCTGCATTTGACAAATTATCACAAAGGTTGTTTATGTAAAGAGAAAATAGCAATGGTCCTAATATGGAGCCCTGTGGAGCTCCTTTGGATACTGGGAGGAAAGAGGAAGAAGACCCAGCAGCATGGAC